AAGGCCAATGAAAGGCCCACGCCAAAGAGAGCTTTCATCCTTTCCAGAGGCACAGGCTCACTGATCCAGCAGGAGAGAAAGCTCATGACCCCCCCCCCCCACACACACACACAGGACCCAGTGGTGCCGTGCCTTCTGTAGACACCAGCGAAAATCCTCTAAATGCTGAGCAGTGCGCTCTGCACCAGAATCTAGAAGTGAAACCAGGACATAAGTATTTCAGCCCCAGCTCACAAGGTCCTTATTGTTAACACTCCTTTAAATGTCAGAATTTATTCACACCAGCTGTTCCCAGCTGCCAACACCACTTTCTAGGTTTCAGGTAGTAAAGAGGTATCTGCCAGGCCAGTAATAGTGCGGCATCTTCTTCCCCAAAAAAGTAGTCTCCCAGCCAGAGGGGAATTGATGGTCAGAGAACTGTCTCAGACCAAATATTCACAGACTGTAAGTACTCCTTCCCAGAGTCCCCCATTTCTTCTTCTCGACCATTTTACAGGGTTCTATCACATTTCTTAGTGTGACACAATTGGACTGGCTCAACTGCTTCCTTTTCAATCCTCCCATATCTGCTCCCTCCCATGTCAGTCTTTCCATGCTGGTGCTAGGTGGGTCCTTAGCCCCTCTGTCCATCCTACACTTTACTTCAAAACTGTTTTTTTTTTCTTTTTTTGCAAAGCAGTGCATACAGAACTTTAAAAGGCAAACAGTTTTGAAAGATTATAATGAAAAAATAGCAGCCCTCTTTCTCACCTTTGCCAACCCCAGAATCTCACTCTCCAGAGGCAGCCACTTTCAACTCTTCTGTTTCTTCTGGTATTCATTTCAAATTTTCTAAATATTATACTTAAAACACTGCAATTTCTTTATCTTTCAATTTTAGAAACTGCTTAATGATTTGCTTACCGTGGAACCTAAGATTTTGGTCTTTGATACCCTCTTCCCTTCCCCATACTCAGCCTCCCCCAATCTAATAAAGGCAATTGCGACACTGTGAGAGGCTAGCTCAGATTCAGCATCAACAATGGAAACCAGGTTGGCAGCTGAGCTACACCGAGGACTTGCTGTGTTTCTATTTCTTTCAAAGTAATACTTCTGTATATTGTGGAATTAAATGCTTAAGTTGGGATAATGGGAGGGGGAAGGAGACAGAGAGATTTATAGAGAGGGAATGAATACGAGATTATGTGTGTGTGGTTTGGACAAAAAAAAAAGTCACAGAACTCTTTAGAATACAACAAATCAAGAAATATATTCGTTTCACTTGTTTTCTAAAGATAGCATTTTAGGACTCCCTGTCACCCTATTTTAACCTGATCCTGATGCCCTCTAGGTCAATGAGAGTTGTTACCCTAATTCCATTTATTATTTTATGTGTTAATGTTTGTCTGTGTGTATGTCTGTGCACTGTTGCGTTCACTGTTGTGTGACTCTGTGTGTGTGTGTGTGTGTGTGTGTGTGTGTGTATACAGAGCCTGCAGATGTCAGATCCCCTGGGAGTTGAGTTCACAGATAATCGTGACCAGCCACGTGGTCCTCTCTTAACCTCTGAGCCATCTCCCCAGCTCCATCTCTTCCTTCCTTCCTTCCTTCCTTCCTTCCTTCCTTCCTTCCTTCCTTCCTTCCTTCCTTCCTTCCTTCCTTCCTTATTTTTAGTGACTCGTGTTCTTCATCAGCTTGTCCCCTAACGGTACCTAACAATGTAGCTATGCTGTCCATGAAAGTAACTGGCACTCTGGCTGGCAAAGCATTTGATCTTGAAAGTCATTTTCTTGTTAGGAAGTTTTAGGCGCTTCTGTGTTGCTTTCTAATTTTCAATGTTGCCACTGAGAAACTCACTAGCATTCTGATTCTATAGAACCAAACATTAACCCTGCGCCCAATTGCTAGAGGCTTTCAGAACGTCCTTTTCTCTGATGGCCTGAAGTTCATGGTGATTCACCGTGGTGTGATTTCCTTCTACAGGGTGTGCTGAGCGCTCAGTAGACATTTCACGGTTAATTTACACATCCGAGTTCTACCACCTGACTTCACAAGCTATTACAATCTTGCTAGTGCATAACTTTTCATTTGAATATATTTTCACACACTGTGTGTTTTATACATATACAAAAGTGAAAGCATATCACATTGTCTCCCTGTTTTTACTGAAACATTTCTAAAATACCCTATAGTCCACGTACACTCGGGATCTGCTGCTTTATTGCGACAGCATATGCCAGGGTATGCATCCAACAGTTTACCTATCTAATTTCCCAGCTTGGGATACCCCGGATCCTTCCCAAGCCCACTGCCAATGCACTGGAAATAACATCTTTGCACATGTCCCCACAGTACTTTTAATCTGGCAATGGTGAGTCTTTTAGTTCTGGGAACCTTCCTCATATTTTGCTATGTTAATTCTTTCTTCCCATTTCATTGTTCTCTTTATTAAACTATCTTACCAAAATTTTGGGAAGATGTTTTGAAACAAGGTCTTATTATGAAATCCAGGATGAACTTGAAAATGTGATTTTTTTTTCCCTGCTTCTGCCTCCCAAATGGGATTATGAGTACGTTTCCACCACCCCTTGCTCTTTGAGTCAGTCAGTGTCTCTCTGTCTCTCTCTGTGTGTCTCTGTCTTTTCTCTAACCTCACTTTCTAAGTGGTGTCCTCAATTTTATACTCCAACTTTACTATCTTTTTGATTTGATTAGATTTTTACATTAACTCAACTTTGCACTACTTTTACATTAATTACATTTTACACATATTTCCAACAGCTCTTCTTAATCTCAACGTCTTTTTGTAATAAGCTGTTATTTGTTATTTATATGTGAAATTATTTTTCTGTCTTTGCTGGTATCAAACGTGATCTTTTACATTATCTTTTACTACCTGCACTGCTCAGATTCACTCTCTTTTTTCTATTTATTATGCTGCTTAGGGACCCTCACGTTGGGCATTCTCTTCAAAGGCTAAGTATCCCTGGCTGTGTGAGTAATGGGAATGGAAACCCTACCTCCTAGGCTGTGGCTTGTGGGGTGTTGAGTGCAGTGGGCTGAGTGGCAGCCCCCTTAAAAAGACCATTCATATTCTAATACCTGGAATGCCTGAATGTTACCTTATTTGGAAAAAGAGTCTGCAGATACAGTAGAGTTAAGTGTATTCAGAAGAAGAGATCAAACTAAATTACCCAAAGATTCTAAATCAAAGCACAAGTACCCTTATAAGAGCAAGACTGGGGGAGATGACAGGTAGGGGAGAGGGAGAGCTGAGTAAGCACGGAGGCAGAGACTGGGGCTACAACATGGTGACAATCCGAGAAATGCCTAGGACCACCAAAGCTGGAAGAAGGACGAAATAATTCACTCAGGCAGTTGGAGGGAGCACAAGCCTGCCAGATCTGGAGCTTGTAACTCAAACACTATCAGGGAATAAAATTCCTGACCATTTCATGCTACCTGGATTGTAGTATTTATTGGGATAGCCATAGTGAGCTTTACTGGGGGGTGATGGAATAGGAACCTGTTTCTCTAATCTCATCAGACTGACAAATAGATAAATCTTTTCTTTTAAGACAGAAGCCCCACAAAAGAATCTTCTAACCTATTGCCAGATTGCTGCTTTTCTGAGAAAACAGAAGTGGGCTGGGGAACTGACTGTCAGCTTATGGACTGTCACTCACGCTCTCGTTTCCATGACAATGTGAAGCCCACCTTAAAATGCAGCAGGTGTCACTTGGCTGTCACCAACCCCTTGCTGATTTGAACTGCCACAGAGAGTAGGTCTCCTAATTTCTCCCGGGTTGGGGCCAAATGGGGCAGATACTTGCCAGCATTATCTAGAAACTGAGCAGATAAGTAAGGACTTTTCATCCAATCTCTTGTTTTTAACATCATGCATACTCCAACACTCAGGAATATATGCCATCTATAATTCCTGAGTCTTTCTTGGACTCAGAAGAGGAATAGGTCTGTCTACTTATTATCATTCTTCCACTGGAGGAACTTGAACTTCAGCTACTGTGGTGTCAACCATTTGTTGTGTAAAACAAGCCTTGTTCACATTCTCATCATCTGCTGCTCCTCTCATTTTCCTTATTCTTGTACCTTCTTAGTTTGTATTTTCTGCATTCATAGGCTCCAAAAATAATCACCAATTCGTTGCAGTGTGCCACACATAAACATAAAGACTACTATATCTACTATCATTTAAAGAGCTTACACCCACCCACCAAATCATCATCACCACCACCATCATCTCAACTGTGCTCAGGAAAATGTAGTGTCTCCTAAGATATCCACCTGGCTGAGCCACATTCCGCTTCTTCATACTCCATGCCTTTCCTCCACTTCTCCATCTTTGCTAGAGTGCACATCTCTGTGCACTTCTATCCTACGCTATTCTAACACGCATCTTATACACCATGCAGTTCCCAGCCCTGTTTGAAACCAACCCTAATGACTTCAGACTGCACAGATTTGGTCCTTCTCCCAAACAAACTGTTACGTTTTACATTGGTCAGTAAAAACGAAATTTGCACTCCCTGGTTCAAATGACAAAGACGTCTTCTCTGCAAAACGTGTTAGACGACGATGGGTAATATGAATCGGTATAAATATGAATATGAGTCACAGGTGTGAAGTGTGATGTCTAGTGCACTGCAAAGCAAGCAATTTTTTGTGGATAAAATCTATATCTTCCTTGACTTTATGTCCCTAACAACCAGCACAGTGTTTGACATGGAGTTATAGAATGGAGCTATGGATGGATAAATGAACTCACAAGATACTGTTTTCAGAACTATACACGACAGACAGATTTTTTTAATGTCTAAAAATTCATCAAGGTGATTAGAGCAATCATCTGTTGTTGTACTGAAGCAGCTAGAATAACGTTGGCACAAAGAGGCTGCCCAGGATCTTCTAAGCGAGGGTAAATGGGTGAACCTGTCATTAATCAGGAGGCATCAGCCCCCAGCTAGCAGCTCACAAAAGAAAGAGAGAAACACCCAGCTTACCCTGAAAGCACTCCCAGGACAAGGTTGAGAACAAAGAAGGATCCAATAATGATGAGGGGGATGAAATACAGCCAGTTCCAGGTGGCTCCTAAGGCATCATTGGTCTGAAAGAAAGAAAAAATGGTTTCTTAATATTTACAGCCATCTCCAAGAAGCAAGGCCCACATTCCGGCAGTGTCACACAGTGCGTGCTGTAACAATCACAATGCGATTCAATTAAGCATTATCTCACTCCCATCCCCCCAACATGTTATTATAAGACAACTCACATTTTGCCATGTGCCTAGTGAAGGTCCCATCAGCATCTCTATAATGTCCTGAGTGGGAAAATCCTAAAACTCTTACTTAGAAGATATGAAAACTGAATGGAAAAAAAAAGTTTTTTCCAAGGTTATAAAAAGGGAAATTGGCTTTATAATTCCTACTAACATTTAGTCTCAACCTTTGCACTTTTAAGCTAGATAGATTATCAAAACACAAGGGCAGGCTGTGCTCATCACCCTATCCCATGGATGTTGGCAAAGCCCTTAGTAGGGCTGCTTACAAGGAATTAGGTTTACACTTATCTTGCCCAGCTCCTGGGCTGACTTTCCTTCATCCGTTATGATCTAGTCCTACAGAGCTGGTCCAGGTCTGGCCCCAGCAAAGCCCAGAGCAGAAAAAAGGACTATACCTAGATTTCATATGAGTGATCATATGAGATCTTCTGATCTCTCCCAATCTCTTTCTCCACCCTTCAGGGGAGGCACAGTCATCTGTCTTATGGGTTCTTGTGCTCCAAGCTTGATGCAAAGTTGTTGAGGTGCCCAGTACCGAGGAAGGGTGACTTGTATCTTGTGAGACCCTTGAAACTGTACTGAGGTACTCTTTCTAACACCCTTGTCTCTCAACAAAGGGCTTCTCTTTTTCATTGAGTTCTCCCGACCCAAGTTATTTCAAAGGTATTTTCTGGATTTGCACTTCACATATGCAGACCTCTGAACACCCCCTCCCCACCTCCACCCCTGTGCCGCCACCCAGCCCAAACCTTCATGCATCACTTTCAATATCCATTTGAAACTCACAACAGATGTTTTATCCCCAGTTCATTAGGGGAATCAGGACCATCCAGATCAAATGCCAGACCTGAAGCTAATGTGCTGACTTAATAAAATTAAAGCCAGAGCTCAGCATGTCTGTAGCAAAGTGTTGGCCTGTCCCTTCTATGTACATCTTTCTCTTTCACACTACTAAACCCTAAAAATATGTTTTAAAGTGGTTTGTCTTCATGTTGGTTGTGGACTTTTTTAAGCCAATCTTTTTTTTTTTTATTTTCTTCCCAATTATTTCATTTTTTTCCCCATTCACCATCAAGCCACATAACGTATCTGCTGATTGATCATGGCTGCTGTCACTGGACAGTCAAACCTCCCATTAAAAATAATCTCTAAGCCAAGTCCTTTTGGCAAACTTGTGCCTTTTGTTTTGGCCCTGCATTGCTCACAGTTCAGATCAGTGATAAACCAAATAAACCATAAGAAGTTTGTTTTGTTGTTTTATATTGTTTTCTTTTGTCTTTTCTGTATGGAACAAAGTTCTGCTAACTTCAGTGTCTGAGATTTAGGTCTTTGGCTGATCCAAATTTTGGTTAAATACAAGTAGAGAGGACATGAGGCAATTCTCAGAGAAAGTCCTATATACAGAAATTTTAATTCAGCAACATGGCTGCTCTGTCCACAGATCACATCCAAAGACCTTCTAGGTCTATGTGATCCAGCTGGAATGCAGACACATTCTGGATTACAGTATGATCTGGCTGGATACACCCTTAGTAGATATCTTCAATATAAACAATGAAGCTTTGTAAGGTTAGTTTATAGAAGGAAGCAGCCATGTTTAAAAGTGATGTTTATTTGAGGGGCAGACAAAGTGATGAATTAAAGAAAGATTTGACACAATGAGTCGGAGATAGAATAAGCCCAACTCTCATAAGAACAGGCAAGGAAGGATGCTACTTAAGGGTAACACAGGGAGAGAGAAGAGTTTTTTACTGGGACAGTTTTACAGAGACAGGTTGCATAGAGAACAAGCTAGATGCAGGTAAAGATAGAATGAGCAGGAAAATAAGAAGCCAGAAAGATTAAAACATATTGCCAGAATTAGTTTGAGGCTAGGAAGAGTGATTGAGTCAGAAACCGAGAGAAGCCAGTCTGAATCCGTCAGCTTGGAGAGGAGTTGAACCAGCCAGCAAGAGTTCAGAAAGAGCTAAAAAGGCTTAGGCACGACTCATTTCATCCCCTCACCTGAGGAAATAAAAACATTTACAGTTGTGTCTCATCATCACAAGGAGGATACAACAGAACCAGATACTAAGAGCCACAAACAGTGTGAAGGACAGGGCAAGGCAGGTCTGTCTGACTGAGGCACGGGCCTTGCGGTGAGCTAAGGAAGAAACTGATGATCACTGTGAAGCTAGCTTTGTCTGCCTTCCTGATCAGGAGTCAAATATTCTTTAAAGCCTTGTTAACTTACGTGGTTCACCAGTGGTCCAGATTAACACAATCCATTTGCTTTGTGGTTTTGCCAGTCCCCTCCAGTGTTCTTTGGCAGTAGGGACTTAGTTTACAGCAAGCACTCAGATCAGAGCTAGCCGCCCATACAGGTGTCAGTATCAGCAGAGGCAAGGATGGAGTTGTAGCTTTTGAGGTGTCTCTGATCTCCAACTGAGCAATGGTTGAATAGCCTCTACGGTGGATACAGAGCGAAGCCTGTGCAAAATATTGTGTTTTCTGTCTACTCCACATTGCTGTGATTTGTAAAAGGTAATGATGGCATTTTGTGGAAAATGGGTTTGGTAACCAGAGAAAGTTAGGGAATACAAATAATTATGTATGTCTCACAGCCAGTGGAAAAAATTGCAAAAATAAAAGGCACTTTGCTTACTTTAGTATGCCATTTTATAAATTTTCTTGGTTGGGAAACCTCTTTTTCAAAGAAAAAAAATCTATTAATACATCAGGGAATATCACCTATGTGAAATAGGGATAAAAGAATCTCCCTTATTCGCTAAGAGTCTGGAATTATCCTTCCTAATTCCTCTACGAAAGATGCAGGATAAACAGTATTGGTCCAGTTAGAGTTATGTGAGAATGTTTTGGGGTTACTTTTAACTATCTGAATATTTTAATATCTGGAACATGACAGAGCCTTTGGCCCACAGAGAAGTAATTAATAAATGGCCACATTTTTAATATGATGACTCTCCTGTTTAAAAATAGATCAATACAAATTCATTCTGATAATACTCTGTACATCTGTGGAATTTTCTCTGAATTGCTCCATGTGTCATCTAGCTCAACAATGGAGCATCCTGGAAGAAGGAAAAGGAAGAAGGGGAAGAGAAGGGAGAAACAGGTAGCAGTCAAGTCATCAGCCCCAGCAACATGATGTCCTAGGAGTTAAGGAAAAGCCAGCTTAAAAGTTTCTTTAGGAGGGAGTAGCTTTGACAGCCCTGCCATTACTCACAACCTTTCAACACTGTTGCTACACTCCTGTTGAGCAGTTTCCTGCTTGCCCTTCTTCCTATTTTTTTTCCAGCCAGGTGGCTTCCCACCTCTTCACATTTATTATGGACATTCCTCATCAGAAAGTGGGCAAGCAAAGGACTTCACTCACGCTTCGCTCCTTCAAAATGGCAAGGTTCTTTCAGATGCTAAATGGGGCTTTCATCTCCTTCTGATTCATCATTATTAAAAACTTAAAACTGTCCAGTGTAGGAGAGATGTCTATATTTTATGTGTATATTTTGAGATTTAAAAGAGAAGCAATCAACAACTCTGAAGGCAGCAAGCATCCTGATACTGTTCAAAGTGGGAGTCAGGATACTGCTGCCAGTGTGGCCACAGAGTTTGGTCATTTTCTCTTGTGCGGTCCAGGTGACTCACTCAAGAGGGAGTGTTGCGGGGGGGGGGGTCAGGGAGCAGAGCCTGGAGAAAAGGAGAAGCCCTCCTTTCATTCTTCATTATGTCTGTGACTGTCACAGTGCTCAAGCCACAGGGGTGCCTGTAGGGAGGACACCTCATCGGGATTACAGGGGCCTCCCACTTGCTAGTGCTTAGATGGGAGATGAAAAGGTGGAGTAGCAGGCCTCACGTACTCATATGACATGCTCAAACCTCATTTTGACCTTTTGCCCTTTAGAGCCAGAGGATATTCTTCTCCTGGCCTTGGGGAAGAGAACTCCAGCCGAACCTGACACTGGGACTTGTGCCACTGTCCTCTCAAAGATGTGTGGCTTTTATTTGGCCTTGGTCTAGGGACTGTACCATTATCTTTTATTGCTCCAAAGCTCCTGATTTGGATAGACCCGTACCGCTGTTTTCACAAGCTTGCAAACAGCCTTTTGTGAACTTCCCAGCCTCTGATCAGGTGCATTAATTCTCCTACCAAGCCCTTTCTCCCATGCCCCATTGTTTTTCTCTGGAGCACCCTAACATGCCTACCGTGCGACAGCTATGAGAGAGAGCATTTCAAGGAATCACTGTCCTTTCCTTTAAGGGCTGATGCTCTTACAATACACGGTAATTTCTCTGTCTGGCCCTTCTCCTAATGCCAGTCTAGCTGTTCCTCCTCCTTCTCACCTGTCGCTTTGCCAGATGACACACACACACACACACGCACATGTGCACATGACAGAGGTGATGACAGACAGAGAGCGACGTCTGGGGGTGGCAGCCCCACCTGCACAGGAGCGCTCTGCGGGGGCCACTCCTGACATGGTGGGAATGTGTTTCTCTGGGAACCTGCCTGATCGGGGGTGGTAAGCTCACCCACTCCCTATGTAAACAGGCACACATGGCAATTATCACATTAATCTTTGGGGGTGGGCGGGGGGAGATGCAGGAAGATGGGGCAGGAGCAGCCAGACTGGAGAGAAAGGCAGGAATGGAGAGAGCAAGACAAAGGGGTCCCCATGGTTCTTCCTGCCTGAGGACGTATGTGCAGAAGAACTCTTACCCATCTCTATGGAGAGCACAGTGAAGCACCTGTCAGTCATCTCCTGCTTCTCACAGCAGCTCTGAGCCGAGAGGCTCAGCTACCCATGACACACGAATGTCTGAAAACA